ATTTATCCAAATAACCTAAAGAGAACGAAAGTTTACTGACCAAATATTGCTCAACATGTTTTTCATAGCAAAAATCTGTCAAAAATTAAATGGGTGCATGCGTTGACCGTCATTAAAAAACCAGGACGAAATCTTGATCAAATACCTAGCGAGAACAAAAGATTGTTTTTCTTCGGTGGCAGTCAGGTAGCCCTCAAAGCTTTACACTCACACATAGACAATGGGAATTCCCTTACTGAATGTCGTACATCTCAGAGCGGGATAACCCAGGTTTGTAGAATCAAATTTATAAATTAAGAGGAATTGTAAAAGTGGCGAATCGACAAGGAAAGAATCGGCCGCATCCAGTGGCGGTTCCAGCGGGGGGTTTTGGGGGTTTAGCTGCGTTTCAGTCAGTGGCGGATGCACGGGCGCTATTTTAATATGGCGCATATGTATGTATAATATGGCGTCCATGTATTAAAACAACCCCCGTGGGCCCGCCACTGACTGACGCGTAGTCCAGAAGGCCCCCCGCTGCCTCCACCACTGGCCGCATCCATCCAAGAAGGAAGACCGCAGGTATATCACTGGCTTCATTTGAACGATATTCAAAAGATCATCCGACTCATTTAGCAAATGTAAGGAAAATATTTTCATCCTGTGGAACAGCGAAAATTATTGGCCCTCCTATAATAGAAAACGCACATATGTTCTCTTTAGTTTCCTTATAAGGGCTTTTATTTAGTTGTAAAGTCATTATGCACGTTTCATATGATCCATTTATGTGTGTGCTGAAACACATCCATATGCGTTGGGCCCGGTATATTACAAGATCATGGCAGTGCTGATGCTAGAGTTGTCCTCAACTTATCCTGCATTTTGTGGTTAGTAAGATTGAGATATTTCGTAGTGATTTACTAAAAAATTACCTCTTTTGCAGAAATTTTTTCTTCAGTTCTTTAGTTAAGAGCACTTCCACCCCCTTTTTCAGCTACAGTTTAAAAATGTTTAAATAGTTTATATAGAAACCTTTTAAAACGGCATGCCTCAGTTAATTTCCATGAAAATGCAGCCATTCGTCTGACTGTTTATCATTTTACATTGAGGTTTATCAAAATTAAGCATTTTCTCATTCTCTTCAAATATTTGCATACCTCAAAAGCTTGTTGTATCAGAAATTATTTACCCAAAAGTCCCTAACTTTAGCATACTTTTGCGCGCCAAAACAAGAAGCATTTTTAAACATTTCGCAAATAGTTATGTATGTATGTATGCACCCATCCACACTTTTCTTGCATACATACTTACATAAAAATGCTTTTAGCGAATGCTCCATGCTGTGCGCCATTACTTGGCGGCAAGGTTTGGCATAGTTTGTGGCACGCCACTACCTCACCACATGCGCCACAAGCTAACGTGCTCTTTACTACCAAGTCGAGCTATTCTTACCAAAACTATTTTGCATCGTTTCAGTAATTTCGCTAACACCCCTACTTCATTTTTTTTTTCTTCCTTCTCTACCTCCCCCTTCTCTTCCGCACATCATCTTCTCTCAAGCAACGGCATTTTCCTTTGTTTGGTCTGAATATTCAAAGTATGCTCGTAAATTGTTATCCTCAGTGGCTTGCCGCTTTTGCAATCTCCTAAAAGACCTTTCCGTGTTGTTGTTGTTTTTATTAATGTTTCTATTGTAGTAGCGTGCGATCTTTGCATTGTCATTTTTGTGTGCAACAGCGGAAAATCTTGCTATGATCTTCATTCATGGCTTCAATGCTGCAACTTGCGTAGCCGGAAATTGAGTGGTTAGATACTCGTAGGTATGTATGTATGAAGATGGCTACGGAAAATGGGTTGCATGGGTGGCCGTTTATTTGAAAAGTACATTGCGCTAAGCTTACTGGTTTTTGTTGTTTCGAAAGTTTTCTGTTACAATTTCCTAAAATTTGCTTGCTAGCAAAGAGCCAATGGGGTGCATAAGCGACCTGTTAATTATTCTTTTACTGGGCTCTGCGAATATTTTGCAAAATTTTGAAACAGTTAATTTAAGAACATAACAAAATTTTCTTGTTTAAGCTTAGTATTCAGCCCTAAAAAAATTAAAACTTCATATAAGATGACTTTCAAGAAATGGAAGAGAAATATCCCTGCAAACCAAAGTTCCCGAAATCTTATGGAAATCGTTAGGAGTATCTCATTTCTGTAACGATTTTTTTACGAATTTTCAAAGAAAATTATATGAAGTGGTTGACACGAACTCGTAAAGAAATTTCTGTACGAAAAATAAAGAAAATTCTTGAAAAATTCTGAAAGATATTCTTCACATAGTACCATTATTTTCGTTGCTTCACAGATTTTCTTCCGAAATTTCGTAAAAGAATGGAAGTGTGCGTAATTTATTTCATTTTAGAAAATTCGGCAAAAAATCGAATTAAATCTTAACGAATTCTTTAAAATTTCTTTACAATGCAGAATCCTCCGAAAAAATGGTTTGCAGGGATTATTCTATAAAAATTGCAGTCAAAGCCAAAGTACTTTTTTAAGCTACAGAAATAATGAAGTTAAGGGAGCTGCGTACTAAGCTAAAGAACTGTGTAGACTTTCTAATAAAAAGTTCTGCGTAAAAGCTTGTCAACTCGAGTACGTGGAACTTCACATCCGAACTGGTTTGGCCCACAGAAAAATGTTTATGGTTTTGGTGAATTCGCCAATTTCCCTTAAAATATCACTAATCGGAAGTGATAAATAGATACTTGTATCGATAATCATGTCATAGCAGAATACCAGACATTTTTATCATCGATAACGCTGAATCCAGTAGCCCAGCATTGAGTGACTTTGACTTCTTTCAGTGGACCTTGCTCTTTTAGGTCCCAGCTTTTTCAATACAGATTGGCTGTTGACAAAGATAGAGAATTTTTCTGATATAGTAGTTTTATTCTCTTTCGACAAGCTTTGCTCCTCTATGGCAAGAAGATCTATTCGCAAAACACTGCAGCTGTCAGTCATGAATACCTGATGCGTAGCTTTCCCGATTAAGCGCCTGCATAGTTTCCTTTCTCCTTCTAGCAACGATCACAACGAACTATAGTCAGTATTTTCACACAAGTTAGCTTTGATTTCGTTATCCCGCTCAGATCTTAGTATCACACAGAATCGCTGAATGTTCATGACTATTTTGCTTTCGGTGTTTTTATTCCCAGATCGAAAGATCGATGCTTCAGACGTATGGATGCATTCGCGTTTCTGCATTCTGCTTTGTGATTGTTGTTGTTGTACGGGCTCTACTAAGAATGGAGAGGGATGTTAGTTAAATGCACGATGTAGGGAGACAGAGGTGGCGCAATCAGCAGTACCGCTACTTTGTACTTGGCAAATTTGACAGAATCAGCTGTTCGTGTGACGTCATTTTAGCAAACTATGTGTATGTATGCAGAGATGTTTATATGCATGTAAATATGGCGATCTCCATGGTTTGACAGTTAACACTCTTTCTCTTTTCGTTGCTATCTTGACGTCATCACCCGCAGGAATGCGCAACCTTGTATTCTATCATTCTTGGTTTTGCGTCACACCTTCCTAGCAAAAATTCGGTAATCGCTTTTAGTGGTAACATGTTCTAGAAGGCATAGCATTATAATGCTTTCGAACTTTGCCGCTTCTTTTAGGCATTGCCGGTAATGCAAAGTAGAATGTCCAACAATATTTTATTTATTTCGCTTCTTTGTTTGATTTCGGGGAATGCAAAGTAGAATGTCCTATAATATTTCTTTTTTAATTCGTTTCTTTGCTTCATTTCCGGAAATGCAAAGTAGAATGTCCTACAATATTTTATTTGTCTCGCTTCTTTGCTTCATTTCAGGGAATGCAAAGTAGAATGTCCTACAATATTTTTTTTATTTCGCTTCTTTGTTTCATTTCGGAGAATGCAAAGTAAAATGCTGCATCGTAGTCAGCTGAAAAATAGAATGAATACCCAAAAATTCTTTTTCTACCGTTACTTTCTGTGGAAATTTGTCTCGCATAAAAATCATGTTTTGCTTTGTTCAATTTGCAGCGAAGTTGAAGTCAGTCAACGAAGTGAAGTACAAGAGTGAGGAAGTACAATTTTAAGCTTAGTTAAATATGCATGTATGTACATACCGATTTTTAAGAAAATCTAAATACCTAAATAAATACATATGTATGTATAAAAGCTGATTTATAAAAAAATTTAATTAATTTTAATCTTTTAAGATATTTTCTGATTTCAATTTAATATAAATAAGTATGTACTTATCTAGGCATTCTACATTAGTTTCTCTGTAAGGCATTCTTTGTTCGCTTCTCTGGATTCTGTTTATCCATGCGTTCTCCCTTCGTTTGAAGGTAATGCTGCGGGTAAGGGCTTACCTCCAATGACATGCCCATGTTAAAATAAGGCCTTCTTGAAGCGAAAGGGTAAGCGATTCCCCTCGCCTAGCTCGTTTCCACTTTCGTTTCTGTGGTAATCGTGTTTTTTGCTGGGTTATGTCAACTTCACAGACATAGGGACCTATAGTTGTATGAGAAGCTGCTCCTCATGTCAGATCGTAGGTTTGCAATTGCGTGGCGGAGAGCGACCACTATTAGAAAAATCTTTTTGATTTTTGATGTTAATCGGAAACTGTGCTCGATCCCAGGTGGCTGATAGTGCGCACTACTAATCACTACACCTAATCTGCCGCCAAAAAGTATGCATCATGTAATTGATATTCCCAACAAAGTTGTGCAAAACTTTATGAAACTTACGGGTTTCGGGTATAAAATTATTAACCAAAATATACATACATATGTATGTCGAAATGTTTTGCATTTTAATGTCAAATATTTTATTCAAAATTTATCAACATTAAACATATTCCGGTTAATGGTGGAATTATGCCATGTTCCGGTTAATTTTTCCAAACAATAAAGTCTCTATGTCAATTTAAGTTTATTTGTATATTAAAATGATGAATTTACTACTAAACTCTTTTAACCATCCTCTTGTTCTATTTTGGTTGATCTTTCAGCAATCTTGCCCCAAGAACGCCACACATACCATAACGCCGTGCCTGTCGCACGAATTTCAATGCAGTGACCGTATTACCTGCCTACATCACAGCTGGCTGTGTGATGGCGAAAAGGATTGTCCCAATGGCGACGATGAACTGCAAGAAAATTGCCGAAACACCACATGTCGACCGGATCAGTTCCAGTGCGGCGATCGCACCTGCATAGCCGGCCACTTGACGTGCAACGGCGAAGCTGATTGCCCGGATCGAAGCGATGAATTGAAGTGTGGTAAGTTCAAGGATATCAAGCTCTGTTTTTCGTTCAATATGAACTTTTGTTAATCATTTGCATCTTATTTTATATTTAGGCATCTCTAAAATCACCAAATGCAATGCGACCACACAATTCGATTGCGGCGGCGGTCAGTGTATAGCTTTATCAAAGGTTTGTGATCGCAAAAAAGATTGTCCGGATGGCGAGGATGAGCCGGCGGGCAAGTGTTCGGTGAACGAATGTGCTGTGAATAATGGCGGTTGTATGCACAAATGCATCGATCAACCGATTGGGTACCGCTGCGAGTGTAACTCTGGGTAAGTTGAGAAATGTATAATTTTTATTTACACATAATCAAAATTCACTTACTGACAAACATACATACATAGATATTTATTTCAGAAATTGTTGGTGTAGGTCATGGTGGAATTATACCAGGTGAAGTAATTAGATTGAGAAGAAAGATTTTGACACTGCCTTATTTGAAAATTTCCCTATAAAACTTGACAAGAAGGCAGCCGAATGTGAGAAAATAAAGCGAGAAAGCACCTTTATTACCTCACCTGTTTATTCCGCCATGGGTCTAAGTTTTATTTTTGTGATTTTTTTATTTTCCCAGATTTATTTAAAAAAAAACGTTTCTAATCTATATATATATATTATATATATTATGATATTATATTATATATTATCATATTATATTATTTGTATTTTACATTAGGGTGGAGTGTAAAAAATAAATTTTTCGATTTCGAAATTGTTGAAATTTTTTTGCACTTTTTTACACTAAAATTCTATTTAAAAGATGTATAAAAATTTAGAGATTTTTCGTAATCTGAAGGCTTTTGGGGCGACCGTAAATAAACGAGGTTTTCACTCCACCCTAATATAGGGTCTTGGAGCATTTGCCACATATATACTCATTTACCTACACCCACATTATTTCAGAGCCAGTTGTTTAGTCTGTTTCGTTAACCAGTGTAACCACCAGTACACTGTAACCAGTTACCAGTTAACCAGTTAACCAGTGGTTCCTCGTCTAAATTTAATTTTCAAATTTTTTTTTGGTGAAATCCTTATCACGAATCGTGTGTGTAAGTAAGGCAAATCCTACATAGTTAGACTTAGCCATTTAGTTAATAGACCGATCAAAGAGCACTGCTACCTAGAAGATATTGTGTATGCTTTTGATAAGTCCCTTTCTCTGACAGCCTGGTATCTGGTAGACGAGTTCCTATGAGTAAGGAGTTCAACTACCGATAAGTTCACGCATAAATTTTGGTCGTCTCTTCATCGTCAAGACAGAAACGGCATTCCCTCTCCGCGGTCGTCGGATGCATGCGATAGCTCAAAAGGGTTTATCCAGTTATGAGAGCAATCTTATACTGGCTTCCTTCAAAGGATATATTCTGATTTTATCGAAAGGATAGGCAAAGAACCTGGCCTGTTTAAGAACCCCTACCGCTACACAGTATTACTGCATTCTGAGTTAACCCAGTCGTTAATTGCAAAGCTCAAAGAAAACTTTCTCCCACCAGCTCATGCGCGATATGTTTAATATCGTTCCCGTAGTGACCTTGTTCCAGCACAGTGTTACGATGCTTCTCGCTGCCAACAGTTGGAGGCTATTAAAACACTTCTTAACAAGATTGGTAGTGATGAGACTTTTGGATAGGGCCCTGGGGGCAGCCTTGATGTCCTTAAATATAACTATAGACGCCTCTTTCAAATTCTAGAAGATTTAATTTGCCATAGCTCGAGACTTCTGACAACTCAGCCTGAAAGACGATGGTCCATTTTCCCATTGTCAGGTTCATAAACATGTGCACCTCTTCTTTCTGCCATCCATACTTGATTCGTCTGTTTACCAGGGCGCATAGCTTGGACCAAGGTGAGGAGATTCTTTCATCGACACCTCTCTGGTACTTTCTGCCAAAGCAGTTGCATATTTAATACCGTAATATTTTAACAAAAATACTTATACGTTGCTTGTTGTGATATTAGCATTTGCCGGTCTCTCGTTACCGTTGTTGTTTGAACAAAAAATTTTAATGAAGTCCATTTCAGAAGCAAATCTGGTGTGCCGGCTGAACAAGTTGTTACCGATCCTTTGACAGAGAGTAAAGCCAACTTTTGACAGGTGGCCATAAGCCGCTAAGGTTTGGGGTTATATTTTCTTGTAAGCAGCACCAGAACAAATTTTTAGGTTCGTTTGAACCCACTGCAGTGTTGCCCTAATGACTTCTGAGGCAACACTGATGACTTTTCTCGTAACGATATTTGACATTTGATTTGTTTTGCTGCTCTCTCTCTCTCTCACTTCCAACTAAGAGCGTGAGAAATTTACTTGTAACAAGTTGGTCAGTGTATTGCAATTTCTGTTAACAAATGTGCCAATTTGGCTTCTTAGCAGTCTGATACCATTGGAACGCACTTTTAATAGAATTATATGCAGACAGAAGGCCTCAGACAAATACTCAGCTGACTCAGATCGGTATCTTCGCGAATCCTTATTGGAGAGACAGATAATTTGTTTGTAGTTTGTGACATTTGTCTTGTACCTTTCCTATAGCCGCAATTCTGACAGTGACTGTAGACGGAAGGCACACCCCGAAAAAGTGAAAACTGTCCATATACCAGTATATATTGGAAGATAGCAATTACAAATTGAGTCAGCTTTTATTAAAAGATACTGTGCTATCGTGAATTAGTCATTAATTTCCTCTTACACATTTTTTTTTTAATATGCGATTATTAAACACTTTCAAAAATAATTAAAAACACTATAATCTTTATTCAATAGTTTCAATGGTGGTCTCATATTCCATCATTTTGCAATACACAGCTCAATTTGAAACCAAATTTACGCATTCATCCTCACCAACGATTAAATCACGCACAGCAGAACTTTTAATTAAACATTTCCAAATAACCAAAGCTAGGAGGCTGACGTATGATTACACACATACACACACACATAACGCTGTGTTTGAGTATAAATCACTTTACTTAAGTCAACGTTAATTTTCGCTTCCAATCTGATTGCTATTTGCTCTAATCCTAATCTATGTGAGGATGACGTACAGAAGAGTCAATGAAATTTTGGTTGAGTGTGAGCTTCAGGCTAGCTTGTACGAGTATGCTATCTGGCCAGCGTGCTACTCACACTGATACGTATGTTGGGCGCTTGACTGATGCAAGTTAGCCCACACATTAAAGCTTCCACATATGCCTGTATGTACATATGTATGTATGTACTAGGGCGGGTCGATTTATTTTTCATAAAATCGCATATGCGGAAAATGCTCTACGTATCATTCTGAGCAACTTCGCTTAAGAAACTATTTCGAAACCAATTTCGAGCAGGCGATTTTAAAGGGGAAGTTTCACATCTGGTAAAAAAAAAAAATTTGTTGCCTGTGCACACGATAACGCGAGTAAAAATTGAGGTATCGTTACCAAACTTGGTATGTTTAGTTCCTATAAGCTTGGAACAGATAGTATTGAAAATGGGCAAAATCGGACCATAACCACACCTACCTTCCATATAACGGTAGTTTTCAGAAATACGAAATTCTTGATGGTCATTCAGAGATGGTGGTATTGACTGACTTGATTCATATCAAGTCTCACTGGTGGCAAGGTTGCTATTGCTGTTGCTTGGTCGAACACATCAAAAGAGAACTCGGGAATCGTCAGCTTCCGGACAATGTGTTGATCCTGCATAAAAAATGTCAACCTATCCGGAATTTTCCCACAAACGCATAGGCTTGCTTTTAATTACATTTGCATTTCCCGATGAGAAATAAATCATCAGTCCAAATCGCTGGCTCGAAATTGGTTTTAGACCCATACTTTCTTAAGCAAACTTGCTCAGATTGATTCGTAGAGCATTTTCCGCATATCCAATTTTTTCGTTTTTTCGGTCCCCTACAAATCGACCCGCTCTAGTATGTACATATAGGCATGTTTATAGCTGGCAGCTGTTCCCATTCGCATTAATACCTCAAGTCAACCGTAAAGCAATCAATTTCGAAATTCCTCCACGTCAAACCAAAGCCAACGTTCACTTTTTCGCATTTGTGTGCATCGAAAGGCTTGCGAATGGCAAACACTTGCTTCCATTGAAGTAGTTCACACTCTCGCATATGGAGATATATGTATGTATCTACCCTGTGGCTGTACAATACACATTTAGCTTTATCTCACTCATACCTACACATACACATACAGTGCCGAACAAAAGTGATGGTACAGTGAATGTTTCGCAATATATGCAAAGTTTTTTATTCTAATTTATTTTCGATAATTTTTTATAAAAATATTGTTCATTATACACCAGAAAATGTAATAATAAAATCTCTAAACTTTGTGCAAAACTCAGGCAAATTTATTAAATTTGCACACTAATTTTCAACTTTTTAATCGGATTTTTTAGAAAAATTCTAAGTCTGCAGTTCCATAGCCCATTCAAATTTAGTGCAACAAAGTGCAAGTTTGAAGTCGCTAGAAAATCGCGTTGATTTTTTGGTAATTTTTTTCACGCAAGTTCTTGCATACAAAGTATATTCGACAATTATTTTTTGTATGGAGAAAATGAGCAGCACCTTCCACTAAAAAAATTGCCACAAATCAACGCGATTTTATAGCGACTTTAAACTTGCATTTTGTCATACTAAAATTGAATGGACTACAAAACTGCATACTTAGAAAAATCTTAATAAAAAGTTGCAAATTAGTGTGCAAATTTAATGAGTTTTTCTGAGTTTTACACAAGGTTTAGAGATTTTATTATTATGTTTTTTTGTGTATAATGAACAATAATTTTATAAAAAATTATCGAAAATAAATTAGAATAAAAAACTTTGCATGTATTGCGAAAAATTCACTGTGCCAATACTTTTGTTCGTCACTGTATGTAAATGTACATATTTGTCCTCTGTGCTTCAGTTGCATTTAACTAAACATTCCACTTCCCACATTCTTCTTTTTTTCAGCTACAAACTGACCGATAACAAAACCTGCGTAGACATTAACGAATGCGATGATCCGGGTGCTTGCTCACAAATCTGCATCAATGAAGTTGGTGGCTTCAAGTGTGAATGCGAAGCGGGCTACATGCGGGATCCACGCAATCACACACGCTGCAAGGCGACCGAGGGGCATGCATCCTTGTTGTTGGCGCGACGTCATGACATTAGGAAAATCGCCTTAGACCACATGGAAATGACATCGATTGTGAACAATACAAAATCGGCGACGGCATTGGACTTTGTCTTCCGCACTGGCATGATATTCTGGAGTGATGTGTCCACGCAGAGCATTTATAAGTGAGTATTTAAGTGAAGGGGTAGACAAAAGTTTTAATGTGGAGGGAGATGATAGTAGGCATGGGTAGAACAATGATTTCCGAAATCAGATTAATACGAGTACTCTAAACTGATGAGTATGTTGTGCAGGCTTAACAAAGTTACTCACATTTAAACTAAACATAAAGTTACAAATGTCGAGATTGTGCGTGCGTCTTCATTTGTATTTGTGCTAAATAGAAGTTCTTAGTGTTCGTATAACCTTTTACGTAAAAATTAAAATAACTTGTAATCCTTATGACCTTTCGAGGTAAGCATTTTTTACACTGGTGACCTCTTAATTTTAACAAAGTCGTTTAGATCTAAATTATTTCTCCGGGTTTTGAAGGCAGAAAATAGGCGGAGGATGTTAAATGGGAAAAACAAGTTCCATCTAGACCAAAAATTCCAATCCCAAGCCATGGATTTTTACAATAGCGGCAACACACCTGTGGACCAGTGAGTAGTTCTGGACACTCTTCTATGTACCGCCGGCAACACAACAACCTGTCCGCGAGACTCTGTTCTCCAACACCCGGAGACGTCCATTCGAGTTGCTTTTCCTGAGGCTTTGCTGTATTTTAGTGAATTCATAATTCGTCCACGATTAAGAATTGGGTCCGAATTGCAGTTGAAAATCGTCAAACACTCTTTCGAAAAGGTAACGCAGTTGAGTTTAAAGACCGTTGTAAAACTCTTTTGAACCGCCTAGAAGCCGACAATAAAGTGACCAGAGCCTTTTTTTCGGCACATCTGAAGTTTACACGATTCTACCCAATGACGGAAGTCAAAGGGAATGAGACAATCAAATAAGTGCATAACTCCATCTAGGGGGAGCTCCAAAGGACTCCTTGAACTTAGCCGGGAGGGTCGCAGGGTTCACTATGGAGACGGGTTTCAGGTTTTGTGGGCTGGTGGAGGAAACCCCAGAGCATATTCTATGTGATTGCCAACGTATCGTGAATTGCGGAGTAGTGGCGTATGCTAACGATTTAGTGATAGAAGTCACAAGGCCATTTCTTTCTACTGTAAGTGAAATCCTAGAGACAGTGACCCAAGGAGAACTGACTGTTTACTGTTTACTAATAGAAATAAGATACCCCAATTTAGATTTCCATCCACAACCGGAAAGACATACCTCCTTTCGTCCAATGGGAAATATGTGGAAGTAATTCTAGATACTAAATTAAGCTGGAAAATTAATGTTGAGAATGGTAAAAAGAGATCCTATCCTATCGCCTATTATACTTGTAAACGGATCTTCAATAGAAAAACACAGCTAACTATCATAAAACCAATCCTTACCTTCGGCGCCGTAGTATGGTGGCCAGCCTTAGGCAAACAGTACAATGTCAGTGAACTAAAAAGGGGTCAGGGTGGGTCGAAAATTACAAAATGTTTAATACGAAAATTGTATAGATGCTAAAAGGTGTTATTTTACTCCCTTATTTAAAAAATAAATCTTATTTCTCTGCGACAATATCTCGTCTGCGGAATGAGCTTGAAAATTGAAAATAAGAGTGGGAATATCTACCAATTTTTCAAATTTTTACAACGACTTGTGTAGATCTGATCCAGAGCTTATTTCGATAAATATCGATAATAAAATCGATAAATATCGATAATAAAACGATAAAAATCTATAAAGAAATCGATAATTATCGATAACAGAATCGATAATAAAATCGACAGATACCGATAATAAAATCGATAAATATCGCTAATAAAATCGATAAATATCGATAACAAAATCGGTAAATATCGATAACAAAATTAGTAAATATCGATAACAAGATCGATAAATATCGATAACAAAATCGATAAATCTCAATAACAAAATCGATAAATATCGATTACAAAATCGAAAAAAAATAAAAATTAATTGGTTGACATATTTATGTTACTTACACTTAATTTGCCCAATTTATTTTTTTATGATTTTATGAGAGAAAATAAGCTCCGCCCTCTACGATCGTGTTTAGGAAGGTCTGGACCGACCTACCCTTGATGAGTACAAGCACGAAGCAAATAACCGGAAATCGGCATAAGGAGAACAGTACTTTTTAGCTTCTAAACCCTAAATATCTGTTGATTTTCCTTTTCAAACATACTGACAATATTGGGGTGTATCAAAGTGTGCTGTTTATTCTGAGCTATTCTCCTTTAGAGCCATGTCATTAGCTCAACGTCATTTCATTTGGATGCCTAACTAAATAAATTCTCACCTGTCGGCATGATTAGTACCTCATCAAATAGTCAAGTAATCGATTGATGAATGCATTCATGTGCACATGTGAACTGTAACGGACACTCATCATATATTTGCGTTATTGAATTTATAGCAATCTCATATACATACATATGTATGTATATAGCTGGATGCAAAGATGCAGTGAGGCTTATATGACCTTATAACTGCAGCATGCAGATAACGGCTTATGACTTTGGATATTTCGTGACCGCTTTGTTACTACTGTAACAATTTCCAAGCAGTAAATTATTAAGCCTCAGTTGGGTGATCAAGCGGTTACGTTATATATGTAGTTACATTTGCTTGAGCAACTTAGGAGGGCGTGGAGATTTTCAGCACATCACACAGATGTATGTACGTGTAAGTAGTTAGTATAGTATCTGCGTTAGAACGATGTAAACTACATATTTTTGTAATTACATGGGGCTTCGCAAATTTTGATTTTCGTGAATAGAAATTAGTTGTCGACTTTGACTTTGAAATAATGCATAGCTCTTCCATTTAGCAATATCACTTGCGTGCCAAACATAAATGCACACATACTCTATGTATAATGTATGCACATACATACGTAAGTAGCTGGAGCTTTACAATTGCCGCTGACTCTTGTGTATTTCGCCATCAATTACCGATTTCGCTTTGAATTTAGCTTCTACCATTGGACCTTTGCCACCACCGACGCTGGCATTTGTTGACGCATCAACAATTTAATTGTACTTTAATGACAACCACGAAGATGAATTGAATTTTGGGTTGCGGCTTGTTCAGTAAGTAGCTACATAGCAAATTGGCAATGAATTGCAATCCTATCCTAAATGTACAGTTGTACTATACATCTGTTTGTAGTATGTTTCAAGTTACTTACATTTGTACAAGTGTGCGCTCATTTGTTGGGCAAGATTAGAAGCTTTCATGTAAGCGACTACAACATAATACAAATGCACTTAGCGGTCAATTTGTGCCTCGAGAGAGACTTGCAGACATAAGCGTAGCGAAGTAGTTAGTGGATCATTAAAGACGTATAGCGAGGATGGGCATGTGATAAAATTATGCTTAAAAATGCACATAAATTTAATTACATACTTAGTTGGTTTATAAAAATTATTCGTACAACCAAAATTTAAGGACAGTGTGACTTTTGGTTCAAACTGGTAGTCTTTTAATACAGACACAACGAAATACATTTAGATTGCGTCTAGGTGTTCTTCAACTTGCTGATTAATCGGTATATGTATGTAGTTCCTGTCCTGGCAATGCGCATAAATAGTATACTTATTTATGTAGTTAATATGAGAAAGAGAAGAAATCCTCATAAAAACAAATTTTATCATCAACACAGCCGAAAATCTCACTCTATACCAACCATAAGCAAATGCAATTACTTATGCGAGATTTTCGGTGTCTGTTTTGGTAAAATTTTGCAATTTTACATTTTGCATCATCGCAATTGCATTTTGCATCATTGCAATTGCATTTTGCATTAAATCCTGACTACCCCTACACAGTCAAAAAGTTGAGTTTAATTTTTAAACCGCGCTAGGCAGTAGGCCTTTTTTAAACTTTTGCGGGTTCAATCCCCATCAGACGGATGAAATTTTATAGTGTTTTTTTTTCTTAATTATTAAAATGTTTGGGCGTAAAATTTAAACCGAACTGTTTAAATTCTAAACCAAAATATATTAAAAATTGCTTTAAAAATCAAACCCAAATTTTTGACCGTGTACTAGAAAAAATGGAGCAACTACTGAACTTGTCATAAAAAACTAAGAAAAAATCAACAAAAACCGATTTTTCAATTAACAGCAGTGTTGAGTCCGTGAAATGCCTGTTTGAATTTTTACGTAACAAGTAATTTGTAAGCAATAAGCAAAACCGACTTCAATTCCAATATAAAAATTTAAGAATATCGCTAATTTATTAAATATTAAATGATCGGATCTAATCCAAATTAGTATGGGACCACCCTTGAGGTAACACCTTTCCTTTAAAAAAAGAATTATAAAAATCGGTTAACGTGGAAAAAAAAAAACAGGAAAAAATATTGTGACGATTCATACAAGACCGACATTTAAGCTTATGATATTAATTTCTCTGCAGCTCATGTATTCTTTCATGTAGCGCCAGAGTTGTTTCTGGTCAGCTACACTAAGACGCTCATGCTCTCGGGCTGGGGTCGATATTACTGGGGTCGTCGTAGTAACAAGCAGCTTCTGCTGATCCTCCGTTGAGATGTCTAATGTCGTTTATCCCAAATTCACATCCCGGCCAGCGCCAATATAAACCACTTCAACATCATACTGCGTGCCTTCAACAGTGCTACAGCGACAGTGCCGAAATCCATCTCGCAGGCACAGCAAGTGTTAGGTCGCACCTTTAACAAGCTTTAATTCTTTCTGAGCTGTAGCGTGCGGTTGAGACAGAGTCTATGGAACTCCTTGCAAGCAAGAAGTAACTAATGTCTAGTGTTTATTGTTGCCACAGACTTCAGGGCAATCATTTCGCTATTTTCTCAGATAGCTCGGCAGCCCTTTTCACACTACCACCAAAACAGCGCCCAAATTAATAGCGGTTGAGAGTATTTAAATCCTTAGTCATCATAGCTTACCTTCAATCAAGGTAGCCGATAATTTGGTCAGAGATGGTTGTTTAATGTCCTCAAGCGAGGGTCCAATCTCTATGAGATAAGTAAATAAGAGCACCCATTATCTGCAGCGATCGAACTTTACTTGAATAGGGCATGAGGTCGGTTTGCTTGATAGCAAAACACATTTGGCATGTATCAGGTATGGTACATATAACCTAAAACAACAGGCAAACTCTAGACAAAGCCCCGACCTAACGTGACGAGACTGATCCACTTTTTTGCATTTGAATCCTACGCATCCTCAGTTTTTCAATCTTGTTAATTGTTTTAAAAGCATTCAACAAGTATTACTTTAATTTCTTTGCTATTAAATAAAACTGCTCATTTATGTCTTTTCTCTACCATTTGTTCTCTCGAATCTGACCACAGAGCACCCATTGATGAGGGCAACGACAAAACCATCGTACTCAAGGAACATTCAGTGACATCAGATGGCTTGGCGGTCGATTGGATTTACAATCACATCTACTTTACCGACACACACAAATGCACCATTGAGTTGACCAACTTTGAAGGTAACATGGGTAAAGTGCTCATCGAAGATGGGCTGGACATACCGCGGTCGATTGCCTTGGATCCGATTGAAGGGTGAGTACCTAGGGGAAGGTAGACAGAATCTGTAAGGTAAGATGAAAACGAGGAGAGTGGGGGAATGCAATGAAAAAACTGTTAGCGAAACGAGTGACGCACAAACTTGATTGTCTGACAAGACGAAGGAGCAAATGATGGCTATGTGTGTATTAAACAACTTTGCGTGCACTGCTTGCCTCACTTTGGCATTGCTGGATGTTACAGCAGGCTGGCAATGTGTGAAGTTAAATACAAATACAAAATCATGTATACTCAAGATCAATGCACGCATATAAAGTATGCAACAACCACTCAAGCCAAGGACTCTTCATTGCATTCGTTGCTGATTCACTTGTCCTTACCTCATTTGATTTGCTTTCCCTTATATGAATTTTCTTTAACTTTTCTACATTTCTCGTTTGCGTCTTCTTCCCATTCTTTGACTGGTGGCAACATTTAGTTGGATGTACTGGTCCGATTGGGGCGCTTCACCGCGCATCGAACGCGCCGGCATGGATGGCTCCCACCGCACCACCATCATCAACTATGATGTAAAATGGCCAAATGGCATTACATTGGATTTGGTTCGTAAGCGCATCTATTGGGTTGATGGCAAATTGAATGTCATCTCGTCAGCGAATTATGATGGTTCGCAGCGTCGTCAGATTTTATACTCCACGGAATATCTGCGTCACCCCTTCTCGATAACCACATTTGAGGATAGCATCTATTGGACCGACTGGGATAAGCAGACCGTGTTCAAGGCGAATAAGTTCAATGGCAAAGGCGTGGAGGCGATAACGGCGCTGCATCAGGTGGGTGGCAATAAATGTAATACTTATTTGTAAGAGTGTGTAAAACTAGTAACGACAGCGCAATACTGCTATAAACGCTTAGTATTTATACCGGAAAAGATGTCTGTGTGCAAAGATGGACAGAATGCGTTAGGATCCATAGTACATATCGATTTTTTTATTAAGGAGCTGGTAGTGTGCAACAATCTTTAAATGTTGTAAATGTTACCGGTCCAACCCGATGGTCGGACAAACCTCCGACGAATATGGATACGGGACGAAGACGAGTACAAATACGAACACGAATACGGCGGTAAAGACTAAGAATACGAAAATCAAGACAAATACGAATATGAGGACAAAGACGTATACGAAAACAAATACGAATACAATGATTAAACCGAAGACCACCCCGAAGACAGATACGACGAAGACATATTCGAATAAAATAACATTCACGAGTATCAAGACGAATGCGACGGAAAAGACGAAAAAGAAAATGAAAACCAAGACGAATACGAATATAAGGACAAAGACGAAGACGAAGAAGAATACGAATAAGAAGATTAATACGAAGGCCACTGTGAAGACAAACCCGAAAGCCAATTCGAAGGCGAAGACATATGCGAATACAAAAACCAACACGAATGTTCAGGCGAATACAACGACAAAGGCGAATAAGAATATGCACCACTGCGAAGACAAATCTGACGGTCAATGGAAAGAATAACCGAACACGAATAGAACTTGTAGACGAATAGTAATACGAAGAACAATGCGAATTGAAAGTCGGATAAGAAAATGGATATGAAGACGAAGACTAAAGCTAAGGATAAAGTTTATATTTAACTTCAGAATATTAAGCGAACTAGAAATTAATCGAAGGAACTTTCGCGTTTGTTACTTTATTTTGTTATTTAAGGATAGTCTCCACATTTGGTTTTACTTTTTATCATTATTTCTTGCATCTTTAAGACGATTTTTTATGGTTTCGAAATTCGTTGGAAAATTCTTGGCGCTTTGGTTATTTGTCTGACTAACAACTGGAAAAATCATTTCGAGTATCAAACCGCTATAGCTTCTTTCAACTCTCAAACAGGAAAAGTCACGTATGCGAATTTCCCGCTCTCTGTTGAAAAATAAGAAAGCTTATGAGCTCAGAGTTTTTATTGGGCTTAACCGACACTCAATAGTCTGAAGGGAGAATCTAGGGGGATGAAATACTAAAAATGAAAGTCCTCAAATCGGTACTAGGACCTAGTATAATTTCTTAGGAATATTTAGTAAGAAGGCCCGTGGACTATAGGGTTTATACGAATGTCCAATTTTGGCATTTTGCACCTATAAACGCTACGGTCCTGAACATATGAAAAGTTTCTTTAAATTTCGGAGTTCGCTAGAGACGTATCCAGCACCCTAGGCTTTGTTTCATCTAATAATTTTTTTTTGTCGAAATAGTATTGAAAATTGTGATGTCCAATCGTGTCATCTTAAAAATTATTAATTCTTTATTTATAATAGTGGAAAACATACATTTTTGTAAGTATAACTAAAATATAATTATATTAGATATCAAAATTGTAGAGAAATGTCTGCCAAATTTTTTTAACTTTGTTTAATATTTTAATTTAAGAGCGACATAATGTTCACAAACTTTTTAATAAGAAAGCCGTTATATTGTACCCATCATTAAAAATTTTAGAAGCCTACTTTCAGACTCGTAATCGGCTACCGTAAAAACTCCTTAATACCACCAAAAACCCTAAGTAACAAGTTTCGAGCGAATTCAATAAATTTTTAAAAAGTATTCCGCCATATTAGTCCCACCATATTATATTTTAAAAATTGATGGTCAGATTCATAATGAGTGACGAGAAATACCCCCGAGTTAGAAGTTTCAAGCGAATTCAATACATTTTTAAAAATTTGTTCGCATATTGGATTCGTCATATTGAAACCTGCCTGAAGATTTGTAATCAATGGCCCCTTAAATTAGTAGATAAGAATTGGTGTACGATTCCATCAACGCGAATCTGTTCAAATACTTTTGTCCCACTACACTCTCCATTCAGACCACTGTGCAGCATAACTAAAGTGAGAATACGACAAATTTTAGGTTTCGGAAACTTAATACGATTCACAGCGGATCTGAGAGTGGCGGAAGACCAAGTTTCGAAATGTCTCGAAATAATAGAATTGAATGATTTTTTTTTTCGAGAAAAATGGCACTACTAATATTCAAGAGCCCTGAATGGCGTTGTTGTATGAATCGTATTTTTGCGTAAAAATTAGAAAGGGAATTTCATGGACGATACAGTGATAATTGAATGACCGGTCATTGTTGGGTTTGCTATCATTGCCAATATTATCAATATCATTTCAATAGTACACTGAGGTTGCTTTCAATGCTGAAAATATTTACGTGATGTTAATTATTTGCAATGATTTTATATGAGAATATATTTAAGTATCTTGCGGCGCCGTGTAGTGAAAAGTTACTAATTAAAAAGGCAGATTGTTGGGTATCAAAGAACTCAGGTGTTCGTCGCGGCCAAATGCCTCATACATATCTAACTCTTGCAGAGGCGTGGCAGAAGCACAAAAAGTGTTTCACCATCTCATCCTCTTCAAGGCAGGATGGGTCTTTCTTCTTGCAGATTTTCGGCTGTAACTCATAAATACTGTATAGCTATAGCTGAAACCTTTCATTCGTGAGTAAATATTTCTAAAGTCAGAGTATCAAATTGAACTTTGGTTTTGTTTTAATTATTTTTTTTTTCTACGATCCATACAAATGGGCTAAAGAAGATATACATAACAACGATGCGGGAGATATATTGTTGTTGAATTGACTTTATTCCTCTGTATCAAGCTACAAACTCTAACTTTAAAGCTTAAAACATAGCTATAAACATAGGTGGGATCATAATGTAACTATATATGTACATATACTTCCTTATGTTTTTACGGCCTCTCACCAGCACATACATAGCTATTCGCTTTGAAGTTTACAAGTTTTTCGTGCAAATTTACTCATGAATTTTATCTTACATACATGCTCAATTTTTTCGCCAGCAAATTTCCTTTGCGCACCTGCTAGCTGTTATAAAAAAAAAATTATAAAAAAATCATCGTAAAAAGAACTCACCTTACCAGCTGTTGACCCACATTTAGCGCTGCTGGAAAGTGTCACAAATTCTAGTGAAAAGTAAAAAAAAAATGAGCGCCAACTACTATAATAAATGTGCCAATGCCCGGTGGCTGTTAAACTGCACACCCATTCAATGCGGTGCATAATATATATACATATGCATTTGTGTATGTATAGTTGTAAGTAAGTATACAAGTATAGTCAACATGCTTAGATATTTCTTCGAATAGTTTATCCTGCTTGTGTTAGTGGGTGCCACCGGCAAAAGCAGCGTCAAACCAGAGATGTGGCTGGCAGGTGTACTTACCTAAACGCACAAAAACCTTGTAGGAAAAATTTGAAGTCAACATTGAAGCTCTTCTATTAACCCGGTACTTTGCTTCGATAATTTTAATTTCGATAACAAAATAGTTGCTACAATAGTAAAATCAAGTTTAGCAGTGAAATTATGCAGTGCAAAATTACAGCAAAAAGGTGATGTTGGAAAAAGGCGTTTCAAATCCTTGGTTCGGAGCTGTAAAAGAATGAGTTAAGGCGAAATTAACTGCGAAACGAAACTAACGAAACGCCATATTTTTTCCCTACTGGCATTTGATTTACAAACCTATGCACCTGCATACACATTAGGGTGGTCCAAAATAAGTGAAGTCTGAATTGTAATGCTATCACCCCTAAGATTGTCTTATATCGAAAAAAGTATACCCTATTTTTTATTTGGAAACCAAAAAAATATTTAAGTGGGAAAAAACAACTTTCCCTAGAAATGGATATAATTCTTGAAAACCAAAATTTTTTCAATCGGAAAACTTTAATTCTTTTCAGGAGACTTCCAATAACAATATCCAATTGTTTATTTAAAACACTTTTAATACTAAAGATTTCATTTTCTGGCATCTACTCGAGGTTTTGCGGGCCTATAAAATATAGTTACTATGAAAAAATGGTTAAATAAATAATCGGGTATTTTTATTGGGAATCTCGTGAAGATTAACAGAGTTTTCCCATCGAAAAATTTTGATTTTCAAAAATTCTATACCATTTCTATGAAAAGTTTTTTTCCCCATATAAAATACATGGGAAACTTTGAGCGCTTTGAGCGTCCCCTATATATTTTTTGATTTCAAAATAAAAAAGTAGGGGTATAGTTTTTCGGTACATAACTGTTCTAGGAGGTGAGAGCATAAAAATGCCGACTTTACTTTTTCACATGTATTTTTGGACCACCCTAGTATATATACTACATTGATTTTTATATGTGTACACTTAGTTTAAGCGAGCGTTCCTCCAACTATATTTTTTACCTATAAAATATTAGAGGTAAATTTTTCATCCAACATTTACTATTCATCCAAATCCAATTGAATCCATCCTAAACCCAATAAATGATGATGCCGCTACTACGAAACTCAATGAAAAAGGAAGGATGTTTTTATATGTATTTGTGTGTGTATGTGCTAGTTAACTCAGAATGTCAAATAATACCAATTTGTGTCACCTGCAGGCAATAGCACGTGCGCTCGAGTTTATGAAAAAGTTCACTTGGAATTAAAGCTAAGAAAATTTAGAGGAAAGTAGGAAGTAGCAAGTGTGAATAACGTCGGTGTAAAGCCAATTCAGTACGGGGAAAAAGTAAGTCGCTGAAGGGCAGGAAAATTGTGCATGGCTCAAATGATAGGCTTATTGCTTTTCTTCGAAAGTAGGACATAATTTTATCTTTAACCCTAGAAAGATAACCTATGAAAATGTTGATGATTTTTTTTTAGTATTTCTTGAACTTTCGCGAGTTCCATATGTAATTGAAAAAATTGATTCTGGTTGAATGAATTATATCTTTTTAAAAAATAAGAAAAAATTGGTGTGGAAAATATAA